GTGGTAGATTGTTTTCAGGATCCATCCATACAAATACATTTGTTCAAACTAATTTGGATCCTACAGATGCTAATTCCAGACTGCCTCAGATATACATATACAGATGCTCATGCTTCTATTCCCACACTGACTATTCCTGCATCATTACTGCATCACATCTGTAGCACATCACAGAGACTTTGGAAATGCATTGTAAATGGGATGAACTACGCTGCTGCATCTGGCATTGAACCAGGTAGCCCAGGGCTAATGCAGCATCCCTGGGCTCAATTCAGTCCATGAATCTATTGTTTGGTCTATGTAACTGCAATGGTTAGGATAAATGTCCCCCAAATCCGTGTGGTGCTTCTGGGAAGTGATGGAACTTTTAAGAGTGGGGCCTAAAGGGAGGTCTTTAGGTTGCTAGGGGTTGCCCTTGAAGGGGACTATGGGACTCCAGCTTCTTCCTCTTCCTCCTTTTATGTTTTTGAGTTGCCACGAGGTAAGCAGTTTTGCTTCATCATGCAAGGCAGTTGTGCTGCCTTGATCATAGACTGAAACTTCCAAAACTGAGCCAAAAAAACCTTTTCCCTTTATATGTTGTCTCAGGTATTTTGTTACAGTAATGGGAAGCTATTTTTTAAAAATTGGAATTATTATTTTACTTCTTTTTGGCTTTTTTTGAGACAAGGTCTTGCTATGTAGTTCAGGTTGGCCATGAGCTCATTATGTAGCCCAGGCTGGCCTTGACCCAACAGCAATCCTTCTGGCTTACCCTCCTGAGTGCTGGGATTACAGGTGTGCACCACCAAGCCTGGCTGGAATTATCATTTTAAACTTTTCGATACTTCAGAAAAGCTGACAAAACTAGTCCTTCACTTCTCCAAAATGATACCTCTGAAACTGAATAGTGACAGTTCCCTCTACTTAAGGGACTTCTCATTTCACCCCAGTTTCCAACTTTCCTCTATGAAAGTCTAATGCCTGCGTCACTTCTGCACAATATCTATCTGTCTGTTCATGTATTTGAGGTGGTGGCCCCTTTTCTAAGCAGAATTACTTTGTTTCCCCAAGTTCTATGGGTTGAAATTTATACGTTGAAGTCTTAAACCCCAGTACATCAGAATGTGGAGACAAGGACTATATAGAGGTCATCAGGTTAAATGAGGGCATTAGGGCAGGCTCCATCCAATATAACTGTTGTTTTTATACAAACAAAGAACTATGGAGCCAGATATGCTCACACAGGGAGAATGCCATGTGCAACTGAAGGCGGAGACTGGGCAATGTACACATGAGGTAAGATCAAAAACTATGGCGAATGTTTAGATTAAAAAATTATTACAGTAAAAGACACACTGCCATTAATCCCCCTCAAAACACTCCCCCTTGCTTCAAACACACTTATGTCATTGTACTTGCCACTTTCTGCAGCAGTTCCGGAAGTCCTCTTTTGTGAGTGTCTTTAGTTGCACTGTCATGGCTGCCTTGATGTCTTGGATTGATTCAAAAAGTTTATCCTTCATGGTAATTTTGACTTTTGGGAAGAGTCAGAAATCACAAGGTGCCAGTGAATAAGGTGGATGAGGACACACCATAATGTTTTTATCTGACAAAAACTTCCATAAATATTTTGAATCAATTTAGGATATTGAGGCAGCCATGAAAAGACACTCACGAAAGAAGACTTCCAGAACTGCTTCAGAAAGTGGCAAGAGTGATGGGATGAGTGTGTTGGAAGCAAGGGTGATTACTTTGAGTGGGATTAATGACACTATGTCTTAATAAATTTAAGCTTTTTTATTTAAACATTCACTGTATTTGTTTATTACACTGCATACAATGCCAAGGAATGCCAAAGATTTCCAGCAAATCAACAGAACGTCTTGACCTCAAACTTTCAGCCTCCAGAACTATGGGAAATAACTTTCTATCAAGCAGCAAGCCTTCTGAGAGTGTCCACACAGAGATGTGTCCATTACAAGCACAGGCTCTGCTTGCTCCCAATAAGCTGGGTGCTAAAAAATTTTTGGTCAACCACAACTGCAAAAAAGATGCTGCCAGTCATCCCTGGGTGAGAGGGTGATATTTTAAGAGCAAAGAGATTTTTGAGGGGAAAGAGCATGTCAGGAAGGCAGATTGTCCAAGTCTTTATTTACTCCTTCATTTAGATTGCCAGCTCCTGCAAGATCCTGTGAGACACCATCTGTCTTCCCAGGATTTCCCGGCTTCATGACTCAAACATCCCAGATAGAATTGGACGGGGCCCAGGGAGAAGCTCACAGATAGAGAGGCCTGGCCAGTGGATGCCTCTTGGCCAGAGATGGAAAGCTGGTTGTTACTGGGGCAGGGGCCCTGAGTGTGTAGCTGTTGAGTGACCATGTTCGACCATTTTGAGTGAACAAGTCAAGTTTCATGTCGTGTTGTCTTAGCTATTTTCCTTTAGAATAACTAGTCCCATGATGTACAGAACAATTCCACTTCTACAGGATGTTTCAGAATCAATTCTTTTTTTTTCTTTTCAGAATCAATTCTTGATACTCCCTGAAAACCCCATCCCCAGTGTTCCTGAGCTCCATCCTTTGGGTGGTTCCAGTCCACCCACTGGTCAGTGCCCCAGGCTGGAAAGAGAAGGACCAGAATGTGCTTTCTTCTGGCTGATCAGGAGGCTGTCCTGAGAACAGCCCCTAACTATGTGCTTTGGGATGCATAGCTTCAAATCTAGTTTTGTTAATGCCCAGTTTGGTGTTAAATTAGATTTCAAACATAAAATGGAGTCCTGCAGACTGAACATATTGTTCTTAGGGGGAATAAAAAGCTGGGTACATGAAGGGAACTGAAAGCACGTCTAAGAGCTAAGATTCCACAGTCAGGCTGAACACTTCCTAGGGTTCGAGAGGAAGGGCCCTGAGGGAGACACAGAGAGAACACAGCACATTTTGCAGGGTGGGGAGGTGGTGGGAGGTCCAGTGGGGTGACGGATTGCACTGGGGTCTCTACATGTCCACTGACTAAAGGTCACTGGGAGAGAAGTCCTCGCACTTAGCTGTGAGAAGTGAGCCTCAGACCAGTACACCTAAGCATCTGGAGAACTCCATCAACAGGAATATATGTACACTGAGCCAGGTGTGCGGGTGCATTCCCGCAAGCTCAGCAGTTGTAAGGCTGAGGGAGAAAGAGCACCAGTTCAAGCATGGGCTATATAGCAAATTCAAGGTCAACCTGGACTACATAGTGACAGCCTATCTCAAAAAAACAAAATAAATGAATAAATAAATAAATAACAACAATAGCCAAAAACCAAAATAAAAACAAAAAATGTAAGCCCATATGTCCATGTGTACCATTTATTTATAAGAAACCTAAAATACTACCGTACTAATGTAGTGTACAGTTATAATGGACATTATAACATAGATGTGCATAATGAAACTACAGAGAATTCTACAAACTGGACTTAAACAGAAGTTCTGCTTTCATTCTATATCCCCATGGAGGCCTTGTTCACTCCATTTCTCTGCAACGCCCTGGACTCTGTAGACACGAGGCACGGGAGCCATGCACACTCTCCCAGTCCCATTTTTGCTCCTCTCTCTAGGGCAGTCCACATGCCTTTCACAGGGGGTGACTGAAATCGTTCTCATTAAAAAATCCCGATGACTTCCTGACCTGAGATTGAGGACAGTCTGCCCAACAGTATCAATAGGCAACTGTCTGTGGAAGAACAGTAGCCTTTGTATGTTTAGGTAGAAACTCTGCTGTACCACTGGAAAATTCTGCAGAAAGCAACACCATTTTATGTGGTGCCTTCCCTTCCTCACCACATTCCATTTGGGGATCATTTCTGGAGTGCTGCACATTATTTTTTTTCTTATGGTATTAAAACTGTCAGCTAAAATTATGTCTTTTTATCTTGGTTACTCCATGAGGACTGCAGACTTGGCTGTATGCTTTTCAAGGAGCTTATGATCTCCAGAACATTGCTGCTGCCTGTCATAGCCAGAGAGCAGTGCAGCCTAACTGCTTCAGACATGCAAACTCTACACAGCTTTCTGCATTGTTCTCAGGGCTGACTGTGATAATCAAGTGCACATTTTGTACACAGTGAACAGATGACTTAGTTTAAGGTCTAGGGAGAGCAAATGATGATTTAGGAACTAGAGCCAGAAGCCAACCTTCTGACTCCAACATAGCTCTTTCTCCATCACAGTCACTCATATCCCACCTCTCAGTTGTCCCCTTCATCCTGGCTGGCTTCAGGATGAATGAATGGCTGGAAGTACAGAGCTGGTCTTGGATTCCAAGGGAAGCAGTCCCTAAAACCCTCTGGGTATGAATCAGTGGCTGCACTGTCTCACAGACAATCCTGAGATGTCAACTTGGATTCTCCACCTGATGAGCTGGACTCTGCAACCTCGTCACCCTGCCAGATGCTCCTGAGAGCCTCTCCCGAGGCACAGCCCCTGTAATCTAGCTGGAGCAGCCACAGATCTTACAAGGCACAAAACCCTCAAATTGAAAGAGTGAAAAAGATGAGGTGGACTGAAAGCAAGGATGCAGGCCATCTCAGGGCCTCAGCTATGGCCACCAATGCTTCTCTTTCCAGGCTGGTGTGTCCTCTCCTGCCACCCATCTCGAAGGCCGGAAGAGCCCCAGAGCAGTACGGAGGCATCAGTACCAACCCTGTAATGCACAGCAGAATCTGCTTCTTTGACTGCTTCATGCTTAACCAAATCCCAACTCCTATATGTATGTGTAGGTCCTTAATCCTAGCGGGTGGTGATGATGTTTCTGTAGACAGTTACTCTTCCTGGAAAGTTCTCTGTCTCTGCCTAAATTTGCAAGATTTGGTGAGTCAAGTAGAAGGGCTAGAGAGGCAACCCTAAGGACAAAATGGGATGTTTTCCATTTTTTAAATGCCTTAAGTTATTAAGAGACACCAAGGAATAAGCTGAACATGGAGACTTTATGCTTCTACTAAAAATCCACGCTCCACTGGGGCAGAGGGGCTGCCATCCTACCTGGTGAGCTTGGTGCCGATCTGCTGCCTCAGCTCCAGCCTCTCCTCATCTGTCTGCCTGGGCAGGATGTTCTTTTCTTCCAGCTCCCGCTTGGAGGGCCTGTTGCTGAGTTTGATGGCTAAGGAGTCCTTCCTGCAGACCTTCATGGCCAGGGAGCCTGTGGAAGACAGAACTGAGTCATCTGTCAAGGACACATATCTGCCTGGGAGCTGATGGTGGGCCATGGGCTAGGAGGCAGGAGGGAAGACACAAAGGGCTGGACACCTGAGAGGGCTGAAGGCCACAGATCCTACAGTCCCTGCCATCACCATGCTCTAGACACATAGCACTGTGGGGAGCCATGATTTGGTCTCCGTTCTGCAGAAACTCCAGGATGCGGGCAACATCACAAAGAAGGGCAGGGAGGGCTTCCACAGTCTGCAGAGGGGAGCAGACAGGCCTGGTAACCAGGGACAGCTTCATGGAGGTGGGGCTAATACCTGGAGAGGGGAGGACCCACAGGTAAAGGCTGATGGGAAACTGCACCTGTGCACACTTGGGTAATGTGGGGGCTCCCAGGTGGCAGAGAGATCTGCTGCTCTGGGGCTGGGGCAAGTGACAAGGACAGCTGGGTGGAGAAGGTGGGGCTGGTGCAGGGTGAGTGGAGGAATGGACTGTGAAGCAGGCAACATTCTGCGCCTGTGCTTTCTTTTTAAGTCATGTGCTTCTGAGCAGCCGGGGCAGGGCTTTCTCACATCTGGTATACATCTGTGGTTCTCAAATGGGTCGGTCTTGCTCCCCAGGGAGGAGCTGACAAAGTCAAGAGCTGTTTTGGGGTTGTCAGAACTGGGGCTGCAGGGGAGACTGTAACAGGCATCTAGCAGGGGAGGCCAGAGAAGCTGCAGACCACTCTGCAACTCACAGGGCAGCCTCTAGCACCCAGGACCCTTGGGGTCAAAACAATCAAGTGTGCAAGGCTGAGAGCCCTGGTGTAAAGCATTCAACTCCTCCGTGAACAGAATAGCGGCTGAGAAGCTGCTCCTCCCATTCCTGGGTTGCTGAGGTCTCTGGTTGCCCCTCTGGGATTCTGTGCTCAGCATTGCTTTGGTCATTTCTTAGCTTAGCTCTTGGCAGAGCTACCCAGAGCCTGGTCAGCAGCGAGAAGAGGGAGCAAGCTGGGCCTTTGGATTTTACTTAGTAGTGCTTTCCTTCTTTCTTCCGCCACTGGTTTTAGAACATGGGCTCTGGAATAAAACCTCAGCCTTGGCTCTCAGAGGCTCTGGGCTACTTCCTTCTTTCTCTGTCTTCTCCCCGTTCCATAAAATGGGCTACAGAGTGTCTATGCTCCAGGGCTGTGGTGAGATGCAGATAAGAGAATACGATCTTAGTTTGTTTTCAGGCTCACAGCATATACTCTGGTTGCTGTGATTATGAATTCATTTATCAAAAAGTTGGCCAAATATCAGGCTGCACTCATATTACCAAAATTTATTTATTATTCATAGCCAGACTGGTAGATTTTGAATTCTGCTTTCTCCGTTTCTTCTCTTGTCCCATGACACATTTAAAAGTCTTAAATGATAAATTTAAGTTCAGGCCTCTTGAAACTGATGAGCCATGCTTAAACAAGATTTGTTGCACGTGCTAGTGGTAGGTACTGGTGCATTTTCTAGATAGGAACATTTTAAAGCCCCCCACCTTTGAGGGCGACAGGTGCATCCCAAAGAAAGCAACAAAGAGAAGAGGCACCAAAGCAGCAGGAGGTGGTAGTAGGGCATTGCAACATTTAGACCTAAGAGAGAACTTGGAGAATATTCTCAGATCACTGCTAAAGAAAGTGATAGCAAAAGGGAAAGAGGCCAAGAGATGTAAAGAGGGAGGAGGGATGTGTGGAAGGATGGAAGGGGGTGGAGAAAGAGTTGAGCTGTGTCATGTATATGCACCAACTTCCCAGGATGAATGTAATCATTTTGTACTGCAAACATGTACTAAGAAAAAGTGAGAAAAAAATAAATAAAAGAAAGAGGTCCGGAAAGGTTAATTTAGCTGCTCTATGACCAGGGCCGGTTAACACCAGACCAGAACTGGAAGGCTGGGCACTGGGTCAGCTCTCCCTCCCCCAACACCATGCTCCCCTCCCTGGCGGTGTCGGATGCACTCACTGGTGTACAATGAGCTGTCATCATCTTCCTCCTCTTCCTCTTCCTCCTCTTCTCTCGTGTAGAGGCAAGAAGAGTCTTCATAGTCCGACTGGTGAGGCACGTTTTCTTTATTGTCATCACATTCAACCACAACAGTTGGCACTTGTCTTATTTCCGGAAGGCCCATAGGTCCTGCTTTTGTGACACCGTCACTCGAGTGCAATACAGAGCTGTGGTAAGAAGTGGAACAGGGGACTCGCTGCTCAGAGCTGTTGAAAATGCAGGAGGAAAGAGGAAGCTCATTTTAGCAAACGTCATATAAATGCCTTGAAACTTCTAAAATTGAGTTGTCCATGCCAGGTGTGGCGACCAGTAATCCTGGCACTCTGGGAGACGTGGGCAGGAGAATCGAAAGTGTGAGCTAAGCCCGGGTAACTAACAAGACTGAAAAAAAAAACCAAAAAAACCCCACAAGGGCTGGAGATGTAGCTCAGTGCAAAGGCCCTGACTGGGTTCGGTCTCCAGGATTTAAAAAAAAAAAAATCAATTGTCCATTCCTAAGAGACAGCAGGTCTAGCAGGCATGTAAATCCATTCTCATCTTACAGATCGGCATTTTACGACAACATAGTGTCCTGATGGGGAGTAGTGGCACGGATAGGAAGTAAGAATTCTAATTCCCTGAGGATGGATGGTGGTGATAGCTACAACAATATGAATGCACTCAGTGCACTTAACTGCACTTTAAAATGGTTAGGGTGACAATTTTCTTGGGGGGGCTGCTGTACAGGGGATGGAACTGAAGGACACTCCATCACTTGACTATACCCCAGCCTTTCTAATTTTGAGAGAGGGTTTCGTTGAAGCTGGTCTCCAACTTTCCATTTTCCTACCTCAGCCTTCTGTAAGAAGCTGGAATTAAAGTGTGAGCCACTGCACCTGGGTTCAGATGGCAAATTTTATGTTCTGTATATTTACCATAATTCTTTAAAAAAACCAGGAATTATAATTCCACAAATATTTCTGATTAAGGTCAGTATCTCCAAGATCAGAGCAAAGTTCACTTGGAACTCACACATGGATAGGAGGGGTAGAGAAGTAACTTGGTGGGAAAGCCAGAGGTCCAGACAGAAAGATACTACGCAAAGTTCAGGTTTCCAAAAGTATGCAGGATGGCCGTAGGGATCGTGTAGGGTGAAGGTTTGAAATGTTGTGGAAGGAGGTAAGGGAAAAGAACTGGAGCAGGCTATGGCAGTGCACATCTGTAATCCCAGCACTCTGGGAGACAGGGCCGGAAGATTGGGAGTTTGAGCTCGGCCTGGGCAACTTAGTGAGACGCTGTATCAAGAAAGAAAGAAAGAAAGAAAGAAAGAGAGAGAGAAAGAAAGAAAGAGAGAAAGCAAGTAAGCAAGCAAGCAAGCGAGTGAGCTGGTGATGTAGCTCAGTGTGAAGACCCTGGGTTCAATCCCCAGTATCGGCAGGGGGTTGAAAGAATTGGGAGAGACCCATGAATGAACATCTGGATAGACAGTGACAGGGATGACAGAGCATGGTTCTTCACAAAGATGGTGTCCAGCCACAGAAGGCAACCACAGCCAATGTCAGCCTGTGCTTGCTTTCGTTTTCCTTTTGGCAGGTCAGTTTTCTAAGAAGTGATAATGATGCTCTCGGAGCCAACTGAGATCAAATATGCTTTTTAATTAAAAAGAGAAGAACTATACCATGTCTTTGAAAATAAAATAGTTATTTTCTTAGTAAAGTTTACGTAAAGATCCTGTAGCAATTTAGGGTCCTTCTAATGACAGCCTCTTCAGCAAAAATAATGAGAATATGGAGCCAGAAACACATAATTACATTTTTTCCTTTTTTGCAATGTTGGTGATGAAACCCCGAGCTTCACACATGCTGGTCAAAAGGTTTGTCACTGGGCTATACACCAGTCCAGTAAAATCTTTAATTCTTTTTCAGATTCATTGGAAATGGAATTTCTTTTCTCATTTAACAAATTTATGAACCCAGGAAACTCAATGTATTTTACCATCTAAAAGTGCTTAACACTCATTAAGAAATGGGCTGCGAAGTTATATGACCTATTAGAGAGTGGTACATTTAAATATTTTATCCTAAAGAAATCTTACTTACGATACATGAAGTCATGAGTTTCCTTTGAAGCTTTCAATTATGCTTTAAATTATTGTTATGTCTAACTTAAATCCAATTAACTTTCTTTTATTGTTTCAAAAGAGCTGTTTTTCTCTATTTTTCACATAACTCTTGGGTGACACAAAGAGCAAACCCAGTTAACATAGTCTGAGCTATGCTGTTGGATGCAATGAACTAAATTAATGTTAAAAAATCCTTCAACTACTGAAAAATGCAGCATCTTGCTGGGCTGGGTGGACTCAATGGTAGAGCTCTTGCTTAGCACGTGCTAGCACACGCGAGAGCCTGGGTTCTATCCTCAGCAACACACACACACACACACACACACACACACACACACACACAGTGTAGTGACTTCCCCAGTGGTTTAGGGAAGTCCATTTACAGCTAATTTCGTAGAACTGGCAATGGAAGCAGGAAGGTGGAGTGCATACATACATGATAGATGGTCTCCAGGGTGACAAATGCCACTGTAAGTTGGACTAAACGGGGACTTACTGCCCTACCCAGTGACAGTCACTGTATTCCAACTCTGCCTGGATTTCTACACTGGGCATTAAGGGAAGTGAGGATGGTAGAGGCCAGAACTAATTTCATGACTTGTGTTTGCACTCCCCTGCCTTCCTCTCCCCTCCTTTATAGTTTAATTAGCAATGCTTCCTAGAAAGGAACAGCATTGGGACTGCAACAGCTGGGGGCCAGGGATGAAAAGCAGACAACAGATATCCTTGGCTGGTAGGAAGAATCTTTGGAGGAAAAATAAAGTTGGAAGCCAGAAAGTGTAAGAGTTCCTTACAGCAGAAAGCTCCAAATTGATTCCAAAGGACAGAGAGGGCAGCACTATTACGCAAAGGAAGAGAAGAAAGTCAGCCTCACAGGTGGTCTGTGAGAAACAAGGGCCTGGGGTTCCTCTGCCCTCACAGAGAGAGGGGAAGTGTGAGACTGGATTAGGATGGGGTTACATGGAGGCCCTTGTGTCGCGTTCAGGGTGTGCACCGCTGTCCACTCGCAGCCAACGAGGATCGTAAACTCAGCACCCACAAAGAATTAGTGGGCTGCAGTCGAAGAAAGGAAGACCCTGTATTTGTAAGGAGGAAAAAGCAGAAAACAGAAATCTGGCCTGAGGAGGGGGAAGGCATTCCATGTGGGCCTTTGTTCTTGGGGGGAACCCTTGTCCCCTGGGACTTGTCACAATTTGATGGGCTCCCTGGGCTGTCCTTGGACTAAACCAGGGACCCTCACCCACGCGTGCATTCCTTTGGGTGGGCTTTGTTCGACTTCTCTCAGGCAAGTCCCAAAGCCTTCTGTGCTGTCTGGTGTCTTTTCATCCCTGGTTTTCCCCTCCTTTCTCCACCCTTGTCTTTGCGACTGCTGCCAAGGGAATTTCTCTAGTGGAGTTTTAACTCCTAGTTAGGATCAGGCAGAAAACCAAACTCTATTCTTTCCCTGCCTACAGACACCTGCCAGACTAGTAAATGCTGTTCTTGCAGAATGAAAAAAATACAAGGCTGGAATGACTGATATTTAGGTGCAAATGTAAGTGGTTGAGAATCACATTCAAAGCGTATTAATTAAGGGATTGTTTTTAATTTTCAGGGGGACATGTGGTAGTATACCACAGGGGTCTTGGTGGCCTAAATTGGTTGGCATCTTTCTGAATGGCTTAGATAATAACAGGAAAGCACCCTCATCAAACACATGTAGGAACTGAGGTAGAGAAGGAGGGGGAGTGAAAAAAGGGAACATTTCCCGGATGTTGCCCACCATTCTACAAATGTTCCCAGACAGTCTTCCATTTCATCTTTATGACAGGAAAAGTTATTATTCCTATTTAATGAAGCAGGAAATTGAGGCTCTGAGAGGGTAATTAATTAGCCTACAGATACAGGTGAGAAGGGGAGGAGTTGGAATTTGAGCCTACTCTGTTACAATATTCCGTATCCCCAAATTGAACTGTGACCCTTACAGGTCTGCATGCTTTGACTGGACACAAATCCCACTAACTGTACCCACAAGATGGAGGAAACATTACATATAACAAAGATACATAAAAGTGGGGACTGTTTAAATCTTACTGACCAGGGCAGGCAGTGGTGTCCGACCTGTCACGAATGGGCCACTCCTGGGCACAGAGTTTAAAGTGTTCATCTTGGATGCTGGGTTCAGAACAGTCAGGATGCTGAAGGACTCCTCTATTACCTATTGTTGGGGCTGCTCTTGTACCAAAATGGCACAATGGCTGCAATGGAGCCCTAAATATTTACTATCCAGTTCTTTTTAGGAGAAGTTTCCTGACCCCCAATCTAAACTAACATTTCCTGCCCCTCCATCGTACTCATAGTTCCTTAATATTTTGTGTAGGCCATTTCTGAAGTCCATTACTCTATTTACACTGTCATTTACTTTATATTTTTCTTCAAGTCAAAAACGTCTTAAAAGATTACTTATTTTAGCTTTAAGAAAATGATGTTTGTTATCATAACATATGCTAATTATGTTTATAACTTATGTTAAATACATACAATATTTTATATTAGTACATGTATTTTATTATTCATGTTATGCATATCAGTATGTATCTTAAAGAAAATATTATGACTTTTATAAAAAAATGGTCTCAAACTCATTTACTCACCACCCAGCTTGCCCATTATACTGCTGTCAAATAAGTCTGATTATATAATTCTCTCAATTACAGCAGGGACCAGTTGTGGAGTCAATAGTTGCCTGGTGGGGCCACTACAGAAACAGCTGGAGATCTCTGCTGGCCAATCAGGTTGTGGCCCAAGCAGATGTGAACCAAGCAGGTGCTACAATACCTGGTTTCTCATAGGGAGAAAAAGGTATTGTTTAGGAAGCTAGGGGAATTCACCAAAAGGGGTTTAAAACATCTATTAATAAGTAACCACTGAAGGCCAAGTATGTGGCCACCAATGTTGGAGACATCATCTTTTGGTTAAATGCTGCTCTGCATCGAGCTTTTTCAACAGCAGCATGACTGGCAGTTTGGAGCAGAAGATTCTTGCCTTTAGGGGCTGTGCTGTGCATCGTAGTAGGTTTAGCATCACACCTAGCTTCTACCTACTAGGTGCCAGTAGCATTTCCTC